AGCGCTGCCAGTGCTCCTATTGGAGATCGACCCCGACTTGCACGAATGGCCGTACCTCCTGCCTGTGTTACAGGGGAGCCTGAATCACACGTCGATACGATCACTTAGGGGGGGGTCACCTCCCTGTTGAACCCTCCACGGGACTCAGCTGGACACGGCTGTCGCCGTCGTTATGACCCTGATTTTGTGCTTAAGATTGACCTGGATGTGGCTGACGAGAAGCTGGGAGCTTTGCGTCGATCACTACATGGTCACAAAGATGCGCTGGATGAGAAGGAGCGCATACGCCTGAAGAACGTGGCAGTCCACAAGGGATCGATCGTCAATTTTGATGTCGGTGATTATGTTCTTTGGTCACATATTGAACAGCGTCTGCCGGATATCTGAGGGCAACTGCTTGGCCTGTTCAAAAATATTGAGGCCAAACCGCGTTCGCTCATGGTTCAGCACCTTATCTCGGGACGCGAGTACGACGAGCACGCATTGCGCTTAAAGTAATGTGCAAACTCGGAGGCTAACCTGGCGAAGGTGATCGTCGAGTTGGTGTCGTGCAAATAAATCCTGCTCGGTGTGGAAGATTTTCAGACACGGAAATAATCGACAAAGTCTATAAAAAGGACCGAAGGACAAGAGACGAAGCTATTCTGCCATGCCGCGAACAACGGACTGACTGGTATCTGTCACATGCGAGCTCAGGGTTCTGTCGACAGCAAGCTATCAAAGACCTTGTGCGGTCAGTACAACTTCAGCTCGCTCTCTACCTTTCAAGGGCGGTTGAGACTATTGAAGCGTCCAAATTCACATGGAGACTCTGCTTCATTCTTTGGCTAAGACAAAGCAAACAAGTTTTGACACTCTCGCCGAGACGTTAGCGTGAGCACTAGTGGATGCAGGAATGTGCAAGACGAGAAGGCAGCGTTGCAATGCACAACGCGTCGAGCATGGCAGTACGCACCTGATGGACTTCTTGCACCACTAGAGTGGAGGAGCATACAGTAGTAACGTGAAGAGCCACATGAGGCGAAATTACACTTCCCTTGGCTCTCAAGATAAACAGTGGCAATAGTTTGAGTGACGATCGGCTCACTGTGTTGTGTCGAGTTTCAGAGTTTCGAATACGGTAGTGCAAAACAAATTCTGCCTCGTACCTCTCGAGTGCTGTCTGAAACGCAGTCCAGTTGTTAAATGTCTTGACTGGAAGCTCTGGCACAAAGTTATCCACAGGCTTATGCGCGTTCAGCATCTTCTTTCACTCTTCCCACGTTTTAGTCTTTCGTTAAGGTAGGCGCCGTCCCACCGACACAGTCTGAGTGGAAGTAGCATGGCGGGGTTGTCCCCCATAATTAAACTTGGAGCGCTTGGGTGAAAATGCAGTTGTTACTGCGTCATCACAACCCGAATCTTCGGGCTCCGTTCGAGACTTTTTCTTTTGCGGTTTTGATTTCGACCCGCAGTTGGCTGACAGCTTGCTTTGGCATTGCGTGTAGCAACTTCAGCTTCGGCGTTCTTTTGGGTGATTGTCACAAACTGGCGAACCGCATCTTTAATATCAACAACCACAATAAGTCAGCAACAATACAAAACAACACACAAAACAACACAATGAAACAACACAGCAAGCAACATGCCAAGGAAGCAGGTCCTGTTTCGACAGGTGTCGTAGTTCGTGAGTGTACGCCGTCTGCGTTTGCGGTCTCTGTCGCTACATCTGCGTCTGCTGTGACGTCGGCGCTTGCGGCGTCTCCGTCTGCGTCGTCTGCGCTAGCGGCTTCTTCGTCTGCGGTGTCTCCGTATGTGGCGTTTCCGTCCGCGGCGTCTGCGCTAGCGGATTCTCCGTCTGCGCCTGCGTCGTAGACCTCGTCCTCGTTCACCAGACCCTCCATGTCAGCATCTTCATTCACCACATCGGCTAGGGTGGCTAACGGGTTATCGATATACATATCATCGTCATCGTCCACAGGGTCCGTGGTGAACCCTTGAGCAGCGCGGACGTAGTCGACTGGCTTGTGGTATCGCAAACCAGCACGACGCTCTATAAACAAACAAAATATCGTCAGGTGGTGGAAGCAGCACGACGCTCTATAAACAAACAAAATATCGTCAGGTGGTGGAAGCAGCACGAGTACCACGATGACTTGAACCCGTGCCTCCATCTATAGAGCCGTCTTCTCCTTGCGCTGGCGTTCCCTTTGCCGACATCCTCGCCGGGGCTGCGGTCTCCACTGCTACTTCCTCCCGCTTTCTTTACTTAAAAACGGGGGACCGTGGGATCCGTACTTATTCGAACAAAGTAAGAAATTCGTACTTGCTCGAATGAAGTTATCACAACATTTAAAAATTCGGCTCTTTTGATTTTTTACGTAATATAAACCATGGTAAATTACCCAGCAGCCCAAGTGCGTCGTACAGTAGGTTGCTCTCAGCACTTTGTCGTGTAATCGTAGATAGATTGCAGTAACGACTCCCCTCTATTCTGTGTAAATTTGTCCATACTGTACTAGGATAAAGAGCTCTACGCATAACCAATCTTTTTCCTTAGCTTTGATCAGATTTGTCAAACAGTCTAATTTGTGGCGTCACTAAAGTGCAAATGCATGACTAAAAAGCGTGAAGGGTGTAGATCCTACAATATCAGCACGCTCAAATGTAAGAGTCATACACCGCATCAGATCACACATTGTCTTACAGCAGTTTGTGAGCAGCGTGGCATCTTCATTGTTAAAACTGAAAAGTGTTTGCTGTACACGTTCAAGTACAGTACTTACCACAGGTACCGACCTTCATATTATACATGTAGTATCCGGATGAAGCGCAGGTCTCTTGTTCATGTATTTCAACCTTTCCGCCAATCGTATTACATGTAATAGGCCGTGCCGATGCCGCAAGTCTCACAATCCGTGAGTATCGAAGGGAGCAGCAGAAATCAATCAAGTGGCGCGACTCAGAAAGCTTGAAGTTGCTCTTGTCCGACTGGACAATGTCCCGTCGATAGGCATGACTGCGTACGTGTGCAGTACCGCTCATGCACGGCTTGCTTCAAGCTCCAAACTCGGAGCTTTGCCGACCGCTCCACACCTCACTTTCCATTTCAACAAGCGCCAAGCAAACCTAGCGCACAACAACTACCGTAGCAACAATGGCGGACAACTACGCCGAGGTTGCCTCCCCCAAACCCGTCACGGCCTTTGACGAGGCCAACAAGGCCGCGGCGCGTCTCATCAAGCCCAAGGCCATTCTGTACACCAGTGCTCTGCTGTCGTGGATGCAGCCGTTCCAGAGCGGTTGGTCCACCTCGCAGATGAACCTGTCGCAGTACAACGACACGGACGAGTGCAATGCTCGTCCCGTGGCGGAGGACACGTGCCTTATGTTCCCTGGCCACTCGAAGCTGGAGTGGACGTTCGCCGTGAACGCCTGGATCTTCGGTGCCATGGTCGGCTCGTTGTGCTGCGGCCTCTTCAGTGACAAGTACGGCCGTAAGAAGGCTCTCATGGGCAACTGCATCTTCATGATTGTCGGTGGTGTGGTGCAGGCCTCCGTGTCGAACGTTTGGTTGTTCGCTCTGGGCCGCCTCATCGCCGGTATTTCGTCGGGTACGGCCACTGCCACCATCGGCGGCTACATCAACGAGCTGTCACCGCCGCACATGCGCAACACGCTCGGCCTGGGCCTCCAGATCTTCACGACCATCGGTATTTTGGTGCCGGCAATCTGCTTCTTCTTCGCCAACACGAGCTCTGGCTGGCGTTACCTGGCTGCGTTCCCCGTCGTGTTGGCCGTCGTCTACCTGCTGCTGGCCCCGACCATGTGTATTGAAAGCCCTGCATGGCTTCTGAATCAGGGACGCAAGGAGGAGGCTAAGCAGGTGATTGCTCGTCTGTATGGCGAGGAGCACGTGCAGACGGCTCTGTCGTGGCTTGAGGTGAGCAAGAAGCCGGAGAACGCTGAGGAAGGCCTCATCGACTCGACCCCCAAAAAGGAGTCGATGTTTGCTCCTCGCTACCGCATGCAGCTTCTGGGCGGCATTATGCTGTCGTGTGCTCAGCAGCTTTCGGGTATCAACGCTGTGTTCTACTACTCCGGCAGCATCTTCTCGGATGCCGGCATTTCGGATTCGCGTGTCGGCACGCTGATCATTGACTTCATCAATATCTTCCCGGCTTTCTTCACGGGCGTGCTTGCCAACCGCTTCGGTGCTCGCAACATGATCCTGTGGGGTCTGTCGGGCATGGTGGTCATGTCCATCGGTATGACGGTGGCGTTCATCGTGGACGTTTCTGCTCTGTCGATTGTGTTCACTGCTCTGTACGTGATCGCGTTCGGCGTCACGTTGGGTCCTCTCGTGTGGGTCATGACGGCCGACATTTTCCCAGACTCGATCCGCGCCAGTGCGTCTTCACTGTGCATTGGTATCAACTGGCTGTGCAACCTCATCGTGGGTGTGTCGTACCCGTACATTTCGGATGCTCTGGACGACTACGCGTACGTTCCGTTCGTGGTGCTGCTGGCAATCTTTTACCTGCTTGCCTTGAAGCTGGTGCCGGAGACGTCTGGCAAGTCGGCCGAGGAGATCCAGGCCGAGTATGACTCGCGTCGCGAGCAGTAGAGCGTAGACGTTAGGTAGTTTGTAGTAGCTTTCGACTTCTAAACCGATCATTCGGTAAAGCCATGGGTTTCTGCTTAGATGGTTCGAATACTACGTAGTACATTTGTTAATCTAAAACATCATGTTGCTCGGATAGCAATTTTCAGCTTTTCGATGTGGATATGGCACTACTACAGCCGCCGGCCAAATATCTACTGTAGCAAGCTGGAAAATAGGTTTTGAGAATATCCCTGATATTAAAAAATCATCCGTCATTTATTCGGATTTTATCCAGAATACCGGTATCTGTACAAACAACCCAAAGTTCTCTTATAAAAACTAAACAGAATTTCTTCCAAGCTGTTGAGAATGCTATATTTACACAAGTACGACAAACACATGCAACAAGTTCTGCTTACTTCTCGCGACGCGAGTCGTACTCAGCCAGGATCTCCTCTGCGGACTTGCCCGACGTCTCCGGCACCAACTTCAGAGCCAACAGGAAGAAGATTGCAAGAAGCACCACGAACGGAACGTACGCGTAGTCGTCCAGAGCGTCCGAAATGTACGGATATGATACTCCCACGATGAGGTTGCACAACCAGTTCATGCCGATGCAGAGCGATGAAGCGCTGGCACGGATGGCGTCGGGGAAGATATCGGCCGTCATGACCCACACGAGAGGACCCAACGTGACGCCGAACGCGATCACGTACAGAGCAGTGAACACAATCGACAGAGCAGACACGTCCACGACGAAGGCCACCGTCATCAGCACAGACATGACGAACATGCCGGCCAGACCCCACAGAATCATGTTCCGAGCGCCGAAACGGTTGGCCAGCACGCCCGTGAAGAAGGCCGGGAAGATGTTGATGAAGTCAATGATCAGCGTGCCGACACGCGAGTCCGAAATGCCGGCATCCGAGAAGATGCTGCCGGAGTAGTAGAACACAGCGTTGATACCCGAAAGCTGCTGAGCACACGACAACAGGATGCCACCCAGAAGCTGCATCCGGTAGCGAGGAGCGAACATGGACTCCTGCTTCGGCGTAGACAGACCCTCCTCCGCCGTGTCCACCTTCTTGCTCGTCTGCAACCACGACATGGCCGTCTGCACGTGCTCCTCGCCATATAGACGAGCGATCACTTCCTTGGCCTCCTCCGTTCGGCCCTTAGTTAGCAGCCACGCCGGACTCTCAATGCACATGGTTGGCGCCAACACCATGTAGATCACAGCCAGGATGCACGGGAAGGCAGCCAGGTAGCGCCAGCCAGAGCTCGTGTTGGCGAAGAAGAAGCAGATCGCCGGGAACAAGATACCGATCGTGGTGAAGATCTGCAGACCCAGACCCAAAGTGTTGCGCATGTGCGGCGGCGACAGCTCGTTCACGTACGCACCGATAGTTCCCGTGGCCGTGCCGGAGGCTATACCGGCGATGAGCCTTCCCACGGCGAACGCCCAGATGTTCGACACGGACGCTTCAACCACACCGCCCACAAACATGAAGATACAATTCAGCATCAATGTTTTCTTACGGCCGAGACGGTCGCTGAAGTGGCCGCAGCACAGCGAGCCGACCATGGCGCCGAAGATCCAGGCGTTCACGGCGAACGTCCACTCCAGCTTCGAGTGGCCAGAGAACATAAGGCACATGTCCTCCGCCACAGGACGCGCATTGCACTCGTCCGTGTCGTTGTACTGCGACAGGTTGGTCTGAGACGTCGACCAACCGCTCTGGAACGGCTGCAACCAAGACAGGAGCGCGCTTGTGTACAGGATGGCCTTGGGCTTGATCAGACGTGCAGCGGCCTTGTTGGCCTCGTCGAAGGCGGTCGTCGCCTTGGGCGTTGTAACTTCCGTGTAGTTATCCGCCATCGGTGAATCTCTTTGTTGCGTTCTTGAAGCACTAGTGTCGAGTACTAAACCAAATGAAAAGTGAGTGAGCGACACACTCGAGGACGTCGGTAGCGGACACACCGCTGTCTAAGGTGAGTGCGACTACCGTTACAGTACAAGGCTGCTGCGTATGGAAATGCTTTCACTTGATTTCTGCTTGGGCCGCTGACCGCCCACACTTGGACACAGTGACACAAGCGGATGCTGTACTACTGTAGGATCTTGTTTTTGAGCTACTGTACTGTACTGTACATGTAATTGAGCCGACAAGTTTGCACTCTTACGCGCCTATCAGCGGCTGGTCCAACCAGGCTAGAGAATGTCACAACGACCTGTACTGTAGAAGCGACATTGTTTTTCGTTATTCAAACAACCACGGAAACTTCGGATGAAGTACTGTACAAAATACGTTACATTTTCGCGCAGTCACAGGAAAAAACACGGTGAGCCGGTACATGTACGGGTTGATGCTGGCATCGCTGCCAGCAACGTGTAGCCTGCGGGAGTCGCAAGGTGCCTGAGACTTTCAGGCTGTCAGTGGGAGTCAAGGTCCCTCCAACCGTGCTGGATTGCAACGACGAGTCGACTAGCAAACGACCAACTAACTTCAACCAATATGACGCTTTTTTCTGCATATCTGAAGTTCGTCTTTCTTTGCACGACCTTGACGCATGTACTACAGTACATGCCACGTAAGGCAAAAGTACATGCGCTGTACATGTATCAGAGACCGACGTCGTCCTGCAAGGCCACCACCGTTATTAATACATGTTGATCTTTGAGCTAAGCTTACACAAGAATAAGGAAGCGAGTCTACGCGTACCTCGATATTGCAGCTTTAGTGCGTAGGAGTCTGAACAGCGAGCGGACACGCATAAAACTTCAGAAAATGTGCCGGTACTGTACGCGCCGGACTACTGTAGGAACGTCGAGTGGCGCACATTGCGCGTATCCAGGTCAAAAAAGACGCGTCTGTTTCTTGTTGTCAGCCTTTGCTCGTGTGTCGTATCGCTGTTTGTGACAGGTGGTCGCAAGGTGAAGGCTGATTGAAGTTCGAGCCGAGAAACAAGCGATGTTGCATTTTAATGAACGCCGTTTGGCGAGAGATCAAGTGAAATCCTTTTCCTACGCCCTCATACATGTACCGTGCTGCAGCCAGCTTGCCATCGAGGACTCATCGAGGAGGGTCCTTCCTCCTCTTCACTTTTCATTTGGTTTAGTACTCGACACTTGATTTAAGTCGAGTGCTTCAAGAACGCAACAAGAGATTCACCGATGGCGGATAACTACACGGAAGTTACAACGCCCAAGGCGACGACGGCCTTCGACGAGGCCAACAAGGCCGCTGCACGTTTGATCAAGCCCAAGGCCATCCTGTACACAAGCGCGCTCCTGTCTTGGTTGCAGCCGTTCCAGAGCGGTTGGTCGACGTCTCAGACAAACCTGTCGCAGTACAACGACACGGACGAGTGCAGTGCGCGTCCTGTGGCGGAGGATACGTGCCTTATGTTCCCTGGCCACTCGAAGCTGGAGTGGACGTTCGCCGTGAACGCCTGGATCTTCGGCGCCATGGTCGGCTCGCTGTGCTGCGGCCACTTCAGCGACCGTCTCGGCCGTAAGAAAACGTTGATGCTGAATTGCATCTTCATGTTCGTGGGCGGTGTGGTTGAAGCGTCCGTGTCGAACATCTGGGCGTTCGCCGTGGGAAGGCTCATCGCCGGTATAGCCTCCGGCACGGCCACGGGAACTATCGGTGCGTACGTGAACGAGCTGTCGTCGCCGCACATGCGCAACACTTTGGGTCTGGGTCTGCAGATCTTCACCACGATCGGTATCTTGTTCCCGGCGATCTGCTTCTTCTTCGCCAACACGAGCTCTGGCTGGCGCTACCTGGCTGCCTTCCCGTGCATCCTGGCTGTGATCTACATGGTGTTGGCGCCAACCATGTGCATTGAGAGTCCGGCGTGGCTGCTAACTAAGGGCCGAACGGAGGAGGCCAAGGAAGTGATCGCTCGTCTGTATGGCGAGGAGCACGTGCAGACGGCCATGTCGTGGTTGCAGACGAGCAAGAAGGTGGACACGGCGGAGGAGGGTCTGTCTGCGCCGAAGCAGGAGTCCATGTTCGCTCCTCGCTACCGGATGCAGCTTCTGGGTGGCATCCTGTTGTCGTGTGCTCAGCAGCTTTCGGGTATCAACGCTGTGTTCTACTACTCCGGCAGCATCTTCTCGGATGCCGGCATTTCGGACTCGCGTGTCGGCACGCTGATCATTGACTTCATCAACATCTTCCCGGCCTTCTTCACGGGCGTGCTGGCCAACCGTTTCGGTGCTCGGAACATGATCCTGTGGGGTCTGGCCGGCATGTTCGTCATGTCTGTGCTGATGACGGTGGCCTTCGTCGTGGACGTGTCTGCTCTGTCGATTGTGTTCACTGCTCTGTACGTGATCGCGTTCGGCGTCACGTTGGGTCCTCTCGTGTGGGTCATGACGGCCGATATCTTCCCAGACGCCATCCGTGCCAGCGCTTCATCGCTCTGCATCGGCATGAACTGGTTGTGCAACCTCATCGTGGGAGTATCGTATCCGTACATTTCGGACGCTCTGGACGACTACGCGTACGTTCCGTTCGTGGTGCTGCTGGCAATCTTCTTCCTGTTGGCTCTGAAGTTGGTGCCGGAGACGTCGGGCAAGTCCGCAGAGGAGATCCTGGCTGAGTACGACTCGCGTCGCGAGAGATAGACTCTAAACAGTAGTCAAATTTGAGTAGTATTCTGCCCGTAGGAAAGCTAGAATACCCTTTTGTCATAAGAAATTTTAAGTCGTTAGTTAAAAGAGTTAGTTAAGAAAAAAAAGAGAAGATAATGATCGTTCTGGTCGACACAGCTGCTCTTTGATTGTCCATTATTTCATCGAGAAAAGCTCCCGGAAGCCGGTTTTCTGCTCATCTGAAAGCGATTCTGGGAACTTAACATGGAATTTGATGTGCAGTTGGCCTCTTTCCGAAGAGGAATGCTGCTTGGGCATGCCCTCATCCTTCAACACAGTGACAAATCGAGGCGGCGTGATGTCCTCACGTACCACTTCCACTCGTCGTCCATCCAAGTGCGTGAAAATCTTTTTGAATCCCACAAGCGATTCACGTAGAGAAATGTCCATATCCATCCACAAATGGTCGCCCTCGCGCGTGAAAAGCGGGTGTGGCGCGGTCAGTACCTGTAAGCGGACGTGTCCGGCCGGTTGGCCGGCGATTTCGTCTGCGTAGTTCTCCAGCTCGACTTCGAAGCCATCGGGTGTGCCCTTGTCCAGATCCACATCGAAGCTGAGATCGCTCATCTCTACCTTGCGACCGCCACATATTGGACACGTACTCGTGTAGATTTTCCCCTTGCCATGACATTTCTCGCACGTGGTTTGGAACTGCTGGATAAAGCCCGGGCCTACGCGTCGCGTGGTTGTCTTGACCCCTTGACCGCCACATTCATTGCAGACGTGAACGTCTTCTTCGTGAGCTGCGCCTTTGCCATGGCAATGATGGCAAATGGTCTGTTAAAATTAATATTCACACGACAGAAAGTTAGCCCCTTTTATCTCCTGTAATTGAAATTCACTACATACCTCACGACGAATGGAGAACTGCAGACTCTTGCCATTGTATAGATGTGCCAGTGATACACGCAGAGGCATCACGACATCTGGACCGCGCGACGGCTCGCGTTCTCGGCGATTGCGGCCGCCACCGCCGAAAAACTGCGAGAAAATGTCGAACGGGTCGTGGCCGCCATCTCCGCCGGCATTGTTCAGACCCTCTTCTCCGTATCGGTCGTACTTATTCCTTTTGTCCTCGTCAGACAGCACGTCGTACGCTGTTATAAAGTATGAGGAACGCCATAAGCTTACTTGCTGATATGCAGATCAACTTTAAAAAACTATTTCGTTGAGACTCACCGCCCGCCACTTCCGCGAACTTCTGAGCCGCACTCTCGTCCCCCGGGTTCTTGTCAGGATGATGCTGATTGCCGAGAAGTGGATTATCAATATTAGGAGACCTGTGTCAGCTGGAGTGAGATAACGGAACGTACTTTGAGCGAGAGTTTGCGGAATGCGCGCTTGATTTCGGCGGATGAAGCGTCGCGAGACACACCCAGCACCTCGTAGTAGTCTTTGCCAGCCACGGACAACGCCACGAGGCACGCCAACGCGAGCAGCACTAGCAGATGTCTGCCACGCGTCATGAGGATCTGCTTATTGCTTTTCTAACAGTGAATCCTTCACTCTATACGTGTTTTCTACCCTAAGTGTCCGTAAATATAGGTAAACTACATAATTCACACACGTCACAGAGTTTTGGGCTTGTACATTGGTTGTACTAGTAGTATCAATACCGTAGCTCGACACCGAAGAAGCAGACCCACGTCGCCGATTTCTTAGCCACAATCCACAGAGGCTTCGTCATGTCGATCTCCGGCTTCGCTGCGGGACCCATGACACTACAGTAGTCGTCTGGATATTTCCATGAGGGCAGTCAGACAAAATCATTAAAATGACAGGAAAGACCAGGGTGCGTTAGCCGTAGCTGTCCGATACCATGTCGTCTATGGTACGCAAAGCGGGATAATAGGGTACGTGACTCCAGCTCCGAGGTTGTCCCAGCTTGGAATAATGGCATTAGCCGTCCAACAACTTCATGGCAAACATCACCGACGGCCAGTACGCGGTCGTCACGAAGGATGAGCCGATGAGGCCAATTTCAAGTCGAACAATCACAAAGCTGTTGTAATTTATAACAAAGGCAACAGAGGCTACAGAATTATCACAAATTGGCCCAGAAACTATTTGCCCGATGATACCATCGACTTCATGTTGAAGCCACTTTCACACTCCCAGTGAGCTACGTGCTGTGGACACGATTCCTGTCATGATCTGAGTTGAAAATGTTGATCTTATAACGAATTAAAGCAGATCCTGAGAAACTACACACGGTTTCCCTAATACGGTACTACTCGAAGCTATCACTATTATCATGACTAAGCTCACACGTAAAAAGCTTGCACAGTTTGTTCCGTACGCCGGCGCGAATACCTGGAGGGTTCATGACTCCATATCGAACGCTCGTCTTTCACACGAATACAAACCGACAAAATGGCGGAGCTCATGACGAAGAAGCTCAAATATCGGAATGACAAAGCGCGTTCCTCGACGATCTTGAATAAAAGTCCCCACATGAGTCCTCCCACATTCCCTCCAGCGCCCACAATTCCAGAGGTCACACCTGTGTAATCCGGGCAAATGTACGGCACAATTCCATACGTTGTGCCAGTCGAAGCCTGCGCGAAGAAGCCGAACGCAATCAAACAGGGAACACTCCATTCCACACCCCGGATGTGGCTGTACACGTATAGAAAAATGGCTTGGCCGGTGAGGCAAACCAGTTGAGTCGAGATCCGGCCCTTCATATCCCAATGGCGATTGCCTATATCCGAGATGTATCCACCGATAGCACGCGCAAAGATGCACATTAGGCCGAAGCAGGACGAGATGAGACTGGCTTTTGTTTGGGTTAGTAGACGACAGTTGTCTTCGTCGATGGTAGGGTCACAGTCGAAGCGTCTGAAATCCTCGAAGTAATACAGACTCAACACATTGTGGACTTGTATCTGCACACCTAAGCTACATGCATACTGGAAGGCTAGTATCCAAGCAACAGGCTGTCTTGCTACAGTAATAAACGCTCGAAGCATGGCAGCTTTAGGTTTGTCTGCCATCGCGTGAGTCTTCTTCAACTCAACATAGTTTCCTTGTGGACAATCGTCTGAGAAGAAATAGGTGCAAATCCCAACGATTAGCATCAGAAAAGCTGGGAGCAAGAGCGTAACCCGCCAGCCCGAGTTGTCCGACATGCCACCTTGCACTGTTATGAGGTCAAACAGTAACGGAGTGATAAGGTACGTCGCACCAGCTCCTAGATTTCCCCAGCCAGCAGCAACCGCGTTGGCACTTCCCACAACTTCTTTCGAGAACATTGTTGATGTCCAGTACGTAGTAGATACAAAGGTGCAGCCTACAAGTCCGATGAAAAAGCGCACAAACATGAAGCCGACGTAGTCAAATGCCAAGGCAGCGGATGCCACGGGGATTGCCCCGATTACCAACAGTGCAGCTTGAATACTACGAGCTCCACACCGATCGCATAGAGAGCCAATTAGTAGTCTTCCCACCATAGTACTCGCCAGCGAAATGATGTTTGAATTGTCGACTTGAGCCTGTGTTAGCTTAAGCTGTTCCTTGATCGTAGGCATCAATGGAGGGATTGAGAACCAGCCGAAGAAAGCGACGAAGAAGGATAACCAAGCCAAGTGAAATGCTCGCATGTGAGGTCTTGCAAAGCTGAAAAGACGAATCTCGGTAGCTCTGTCAGCTTGCAGCGGATCCGTGAAGAGAGCAAAGGACGGACGGTTAGAGGAGTTAACTCGGTGGTGGAAACCGCGACGCTGTTGAGAAGAGGCGCTTGATGCGTCTAGATAACCCACACTCTCCCGCTCGGACAACTCCAAGTCCACGACGGTGATGGTTTTGGTTCGATCGTGTCGACCTTCGTGCGACGGATAAGCTCCGAGTTCCTGCAGCGTCGGTCCGAAGTACTCAAGCGCCGGCTGTCGACAATTATTTCGTGACGGCGCTCGCCTAGGAACATCGTTACCGAATGTGAAATCCATATTGCAAAGTGCGTGATAGTCGAGATCTTGCAAATGACATCAACTCATTGATGGAGAAGGCACAGATACGTACATACCTGGGTGCAAGTGCTTTTCATTACCAGCCAAGAAACCCTCGAAAGAAAAGACCCCTTCCGGTCACTTGGTACTGAACTCCTGAAGAGCGGACTGGCGTTAACGTCCACCCCCTTAGAACTTCTTCATAAGGAATAAAATTTCGAGAAGGAGGGGTGAATACCGTCAGCGCTAACAGATTTCTGCTGATTAACTTGGCACTAGAGGGGATGAGGAAGATGGCGTGTAGCTTCATAGACTGAAATTACCGGGTAAGACTGTGGATGCAAGTTCTGGACAGCAGTTTCTCTAAGCGTTCATTTGTGTGGAAATTGCATTGACGCACACGCCGACTTCTCCAGTCCAACGAACAGCCCCAGCTTGTAGTGGTCCCGCTAGGTTTTACGCCGCAACTCGTAAAATTTGACGTCAAGAAGCGTTTCAGAGGTCACTGGAGGGGTGTCGAATCAGGCCAGTTAAATTTAATTTACCACTTGTGCTTTCAAAAACCTAAGTGTGAGTTCGAGATTTCATGCTACCATATCGCCAGACCTCGATCTAATGTCCACAGTATTTATTTGCGACACTGCGGTAGCACTGCGCTCCGGCTTCTCGTGCTATTAACTCACTGTAAACTCGTCTGCTTTTTATCTTCTGCGCTTGCATTAATAAACGAATGTCCTAGCTCCACAGTGTGAGTTCTTCAACGCCACCGTACTCAGTTAAGCGAACGACGTTGATGAAATCTTCGTCGTAACAGATGTAGGATGTAGTGTACTTGCAACATCCATGTGGCTGGCATCTTAGACACACGGCCTCCTTTGCTATATAGCTGGTGACCTCAACCGTGATTCTTACAGAGTACTCGTGTTGCCCCCGTTAGCTGATTAAAGTAGAGAGCGACACGCCATGTCGGGCAGATCTCCACCAGCTGAGGTTTGATTAAGGTGGTAGCCAGAACACGAATTCTTTTAATCATGGTAGAGATCCAGTATGTTGTAGCAAGCATCATGCCCAAAAATAAATACTCGGAAAAATAATGTTGTATTGTTTGAAACAATTACTTGTTTTGCACATATTTGGTCAGTCACAAATAATTGATCTCACCAATTCTGAAAAAGTAATGCTTAATTTTCAAGCTGCCTACACCACCCAAAAGCGTTGGCAGTCAGCTTCCAAGTACTCACAGAGAGTCACTGACCGCAGCACTTCGTTTGCATTTCTTAATTTTGCCACTTCTCCGCCATACTGCCGAAACGCCGCAATACCTGCCATGCTCGCCAATCTCGTCGATACGACTCAGAAACCCCAGCCTTTCTCACCAAGGCAAATTGCCGCCTTCTTCTTCAAGCCCGTGCTGGACGAAGAAGGCGACATTACAGGCTACCATGCCTGCAAGGCCTGTGGCAAACGGCGTAAACACGCTCCTCGGAGCGGCTACACTAACCTAGTGACGCACGTTCGCGCGTCGCACCCAAGGTTCGAGAGCGAGATGCGTGACGCGAGCGCTGCTGCGACTGGAACACTTGTTCCCTGGGTGAGCCAGAAGGCATCGAACCGTTACGCGTGGTTGAGGCGGATTGTCGAGGGCAATCTGCCGCTCAAGTTCTGCGAGTCGAGTTGGACGCGCAAGTAAGTACACAAATTCTTTCGGACTATTTATGATTTGAGCTAATTTCGTATACGTGCGTTTGAACAAGAATACGAACTTGGCACCAGTCTCTGTTGGAACTTTGGTGTCTAACATGGAAGACCTCACCAAGGCTGTAGAGCGGTCTATTGGTGAGGAGATGCCCGATGAGTTTGGGCTTATGCTCGACGGCTGGAGCCACGGAACGGAACACTTCCTGGCTGTCTACGCTTGTTACGATGAGCCAAACGGTCCATGCTATCCCCTTTCATCAATAGATTCAATAATGGAGGAGCCGGACGATCAGCTGTTCGCGGATGGGCATTTGCTTGCTATTGAGCGTTTTTTTACCCTTTTTAAGAAATCTATTGAGGGGTGTAAGCTCCTCGTCGGGGACAACTGCTCGGTTAACAAGCGCCTTGCCAACCTCATGGGCGTCCCGCTAGTCGGATGTGCCAGCCACCGACTTAACCTCGCGGTTCGAGATTACATGGCTCCGCACGAACCCGCACTAGAGGAGGTTCAGCAGCTAATGCGCAAGCTGCGTACCCTCAAGCAAGCCGCAAAGCTGAGGTACCGTGATCTGTATTTTTGTATCCAATTCAGTTTTGTTAATGTAATTGTGGAATACTATTTTTGGTCTGTGATTTTTTTGGTACAGACTCAAAACGCCGCTGGTACCAATTATGCGTCAGGACACGCGCTGGGCCTCGACATTCTCGATGCTGAAGCGCTACTTCAGGCTGAGGGAGTTTCCCTCAGCTGACGACGACGAGCTGGCCAGCATGTTGCCATCCCGGACGACACACCGCCAGCTAGAGGAGCTCTTGTCCAAGCTTCGATGCGTTGAGTCCGTTTCCAAGATGATACAGTCCGATGGACTTACTCTGTTAGATGCCAGGGATCTTTTTGATGGTCTGTTGGAGATTCGTCCTTCAATGAGCAAGTACCTTGGTAAGCGTATTTAATTTGAGATGTTTTGGATTCTTGTATTATTTTTTTATGTCTAGCTCCAGATGCAGGTATCATTCACGCGCAGGCTTTTGAGGCAGCTGTGGTCAAGGTATTGGCTAAGAAAACGGTTGAGTTGACGGCAATGGAGATAACGGTATTGGAGCCATTCCGTCAGCTCGAGGCGGCAGCAACGAGCGCGTCACCAGCCTCTCCACCGGATGCGGATGGCTTTGCTCGCCAGATTCTAAAGCGCCGCAAGATTTCCGCGGAGCATGTCAGGTACAAGCTGCTAAGTGCCATCCCTCCGACGTCAAACATCGTGGAGAGGCTCTTCAGCGTGGCTCGAGCGGTCTTGCGTCTCGAGCGTCACCGTATGTCGTCTTTGACCTTAGAAATGATCTTATTTCTGAAGATCAACGCGAGTTTCTGGAGCGTAACTACTGTAGACTCTTGTTTATCAACGGCTGTGTAGGTCAACTAACACGATTGTAGTAATAATTTACTGCACGTTTCCAAGTATTCCAGTTATTTATTTACCTTAATCTGAAGCATCAATGAAATCTGTATTTTCTAGTAGATTCGCCAGAGCGATTTTATTTTATTTTGGGGTCCCTGACCCCCCCCCCCCGGCGGACAATGAAATACAAAATTGAACTCGGGTCGCTGAAAAAAGTGCATGTAAAACATACTGTAATAATGTCGGAGCCAGTATTAGTATCGCAATTATTTTATAGTATTGCTAGGGTCAGAACAGTGAAGTGGTCGAAACAACCCTACCAATCCACTGCTGTTAATCTCGCGGGTACTAGTCACAATGTTGGAATTGGAGAGTTATAGTGGGTCAATTCGCATGTCGCAACAAGAAGGCTGCAATGCGCGCTTATTTGATTTGTTCACAGAAGTGGGCATGAAATTGAGCTTGTTCACAGAAGTGGGCATGAACCGATGACAGGCAAGGCCGAGGGCTCGCAGAATTATACGCAATGACGCGCCATCCGAACACGATGCGGGCAGAGACGGCGTTGGCAGATGTCTTCAATAGTTGAGACAATTGTATTGGGAATTGTTGGAAACGAATCGTTGCTATGTATTTTCATTTTATTAATTAAAACCAAGGTTTTTCTAAGGAGCGGAGCAAATAATTTGAGGGATTGTTTTTTTTTGCTACGAGTTTTGATACTTCCTCCGTCTGAAAATATAAGCAATGGTAACCAAATACATGTATCATATGATATATTCTAAAGTAATAGTACTGTTTCTCATTTGAAGTATTAATAGTAGCTCAGTTTTATATAGCTATTATTATTTTAATACTACTAACTCAGAGATTTGAAGGCCGTGCTCGAGTTGAAAAACGTGATCTCGCAAAAAAAGCTATTTACTTAATCTGCCTATTTTTAGCAGCTCAATCGATATTAGCTACTTCGTGAAAAACAAGTCTACCACCAATTTGAAAACCAAGCATTTCGAGGCATTTGAGTTTTTCTAAATCGTAGTTATAAAATAAAAATACTTAAGAATCATAATAAAACCTCGCAAAAATAGCTATTTAGGAGCGAATCGAACACTTAGATTTCCGGATGGAGGAAGTATTATAAAATTAATGTTTTAATAAAAGCAAGTTTTTTCTCTCTCATTACATGTAAAATGCAAAAAACCTGTAAAATAACCTTAACCAGTAATGGTGATTTTCAGCTCTGTTTGTCTATATTTCGAGAAACCATTCGAACAATGCGCATTTCATGAGATAAATTCCGAGAGCTTGTCGTAAGCTTACCCGCGCCTAATCGATTGTACTGAGAAGTATGTAAATATTATACCTGATCAGGAACTCTTACGGTTCGAATGTTTCACCTGCATGCTCGAAATGTTCCTAAAATGCAGAGTCACAGTTCAGCATCAGGTGCCTCAGCAGGGGCCCTCAGTGAGGGCTCCCGATTATGGCATGGTCTTGTCAATTATTTCTTATGAGATCATAAATATATTTATTTCGTCGACATCACGAAGGCAATAAATAATGTATTTGCTAAAAAGCCAGTTCACCATAATTTATGAAAAGATTTCGTCATCACTATGCATTTTCATTGAAATTTGAGTCGCAGAACGCTGAGCATCACAAGTCGCTGGAGCGCTCCCTCTTCATTTCGGACAAAGTAGGCAAAAATGTGTTATTACTGCACGAAAACGGTGTGATTTCGAGAGATTGTGCATTATTAAAATGATGTTGAGTCGTTGTACGTTATGCTCTTATTCATTGTTTGATCACTGTACATGCCATAATGTATGTATTGGCTCTAGCTTTCCCATACCATTATTTATGCTAAGCAAGGGTGCCCGATAAATAACAATGCCATTATCGGGAGCTCTGCCCCTCACTATGCGAGTTCAGTGTGGACTACTCTTCGGAGCGGTGTCTACACTGGTGCATTCGGAGTTCGGACTAGACGATCGTGTCTAAAAAGAAATTTAAGCTCGACGAAAAAGAGAAGAAGAGGTGGACTCCTTGCCGATGCATATCGAGCCCCAGCAAGCAAAAAGGCAAATCCCCCACGTCGGAGCGCTTCGTTGGTGCGGCCTTCTGAATAGTGTCCGTGTTGAAGTGTTGATTCAGGCAGTGTATTGCTAAATGATCATGCGAAGACTCGCTGGGGGTCAAGGAAACCTGAAAATTGTCGTGTTGCTGGCGATGGATTCATTACATGTATTTGGCTACCTACCAGTATGGCACGTCGTCGTACATGTGATACTGTAGTCTGCAGGTGCTCAGCATTCCATGATGCGTTGAGTGTGCCTTATATCGACTGGAGATTTCGCAACGTGATCCATTCGCAGCCGTTGGATGAAGGAGGTACTCATTTTGATGCCATAGCAAAAGACAGGAGAAGTCAACGACGAGATTACCACCACACTGAAACCCAGAGCAGTCAGCCGGTGTCTTCTCCCTATTGGCTACTCACGGATTCGCTCCCTTTATCTTCTTACGTTCGGAGATGCATCTAGCCATGTCTAGAGCTCCACACACGCTAACCGACCTCGAGTATCCGATCAGCAGTCGAATCAACATGGGCTGAAACCCCGCGGCCACCGCTTGATATAGGAATCTCCAGCATTACGAGAACTGCCGATCACAAGTCCGCCTCGTACCAAAGCATGTCCACCGACCCGTACCGCCAGATCCCTATGCTGCAGTCAAACACACCACGCCACTTCTCCTTCGACATCTGTACCGATCCACAGCAAGGTGACAAGGCCACCGAGATTCAGCTTTTCAGCTTCCAGCGACCTCACATGCGCGCCTTTCATTACTCGTGGCTGTCATTGTTCATCGCGTTCTTTGGCTGGTTTTCCATCCCGCCTATCATGCCAACCATCAAGTTTCTAGCTTTAACATCGTGTCACTAGCTAGTATCATTATCGGTCGACTCATTGTCGGTCCCCTATGCGACCGCTACGGAGCACGCATCATTCAGTCTGTCTTGCTGGTCATCGGAGCTATTCCAGTTGCCTCAGCGACATTGGTGACCAGGTAAATTGGTTTGATGTTGGCGAGGTTTTTCATCGGTCTCGTGGGGTGTATTTATGTGGCAACAACGTACTGGACGTCGACCATGTTCTCACACGAGGTGGTTAGTAGTGACAACGCCATCTCGTGTGGGTGGGGCAACTTGGGTGCAGGTGTAACCTACTTAGTAACCCCGCTTGTCTTTGATCTCATCACATTTAACGGCACTATTTCGGACAATTATGGTTGGAGAATGGCATATGTATTTCCTGTCATTATCAAGGTTGCAATTGGTGTTTGCACCTACTTGTTTTCGGACGACTGTCCACAGGGCAGCTACGTCGACCTCAAACGTAATCACGCCATGGCTGATCGCGCTAAGTCGGAGCTGTATAACGGGTTTATGGCAGTCGCTAGACAGCCTATAGCTTGGATTCTTGCCTTCCACTACGCTTGCTGCTTTGGTGTCGAGCTGCAAGTCCACAACGTGCTCAGTCTGTACTTCTATGAAGACATCAAGACCGACAGGTGCGACGTTGAGACCGGTGACAACGAATGTCATCTACTGACACAGACCAAATCTAGCGCCATCTCGTCCTGCTTTGGTCTCATGTGCATTTTTGCTCGAGCTATTGGAGGCTACGCGTCCGATGTGGCAAACCACCACTACGACATGAAAGGCCGTATCTCCATGCAGTTGTTGTGTCTTGTAGGTCAAGCTGCGTTTCTCTATCTCTTCAGTCAACTTCGGGTACTAGCTTGGAGTATTCCATGTCTTTTCGTCTTTGGCTTCTTCGCTCAAGCCTCCACTGGAACAACGTACGGTATTGTTTCCTATGTCTGCCTTAAATGCATTGGCGTGACGTCTGGAATTGTGGGCGCCGGGGGTAGCAGGGGTGGTTTCGTCCGGGCGTTCATATTCAAGGGGGTTGCACACCGAGCCAAGTTTTTTAAGTACTTGAGCTTCGTTGTGGCAGCAGCTTCGATCTCATCGGTGTTGATTCGGATCAATGGCGAGCGCTCGCTTTGGTCCCGAGGTGGTGGCGTGAGTGTTCGAGGACCGCGACACTTTAACTGCTCTCGCGACGATACTGCTGTCACCTGGTGAGCGAGTCGATGTCCTGTAATTGTTTGATAACTAGCCGAGTGCCGCCGCTACGCGGCGGGTAAGAATGAATGCCGATCCTTGTGTTTTGCCTCGCCACGGAATTGGGGCCGCCTCGCTGCGCTCGGCAGCCAGTAGGAATATTTAAATTATTTTATCCAATGATTTGTCCGGCAAAGCGTGACAGGCTCGAAAATTTAGTGTGACGGACAGACAGGTTGCTGCAATAGATGTTTAGGGTGTACCGGAATTAACGTATTTCTTAAAACAACTATATTTCATGCAACGACGCGTAAAAAGCTTGGAAGACGACAATTTCTTTATATTTTCACCCCTTCTTCCAACCAACTTCCATATTATAGCTGCAAAAACGTTTTATTGTAGTATTGAGTAGAATATAAGACATTCAAACCGCCAAAAAAACAGTTTATTGAGCTTGTTTAGCTACTCGAAACCGACCATTACTCTCCCGTGGTCCAGACGGAACAATACCCGCACGAATAAAACCCCTCTGAATGGTCTTAGCGGGAACTTCATTCCAAGCTTGGACAACGATGCGAGTTATGAGATCGCGGCGGGCGGCTGGGTCGGGAGAGAAGCCGTTGTCGATGTGGTGGGCTACATAGAGCTCACGACATCGCTTCTTAAACACTTGCATGACAGAAACGTCCATCGGTTACGCCACGCCCGTACTTCCAGGCGGGATTAACTTGACCTCAGTACTGCATTCACCTTCTAACTTCAGTCTTACAGAGTCCATCTTGTGTGTTTTTAGGCTGTCTAATAGTAGAAATCGAGTACCAGATACGGTGGGCTTCCAGACCTAGATTTATAAAAACGAACATTCAAATTAGAGCTTCAGCAAAAGTTAAAATGAAACTGTGGCTCACCTCGTCAATCCAATAGAGCATGCGTGACTCGTCACAATAAGCTTTTTGTTGAACTGTCAGAACAGCTTGGTGACGATGCAACGGATTTTGCTGCACTTTCTCCTCGACAGTAGCACCAACAACTCCAGCAAAGATAATCATCGGTGGGAGCTTATCCCCGGTGGCAGACGCACAGAGAAAAACAGAAGCTCTAAAAGCATTTTCCGTCATTCCTAAACTTAATAAAATATTAAAAAAAGGTTAAAATAATGAAAGGAAAACATTTGTTTACCTTGGACGACGTCGACGTGTTTGGCACCCACGAAGTCGATCGTCGTGTTGGGGTTCATGTCGATGATCCTGCCGTTTGATCCATGTTGAAGACAGACGCGAACTTAGCAGAACCAACAATGTGGGACACCACACTAGACTCCTCTAAACTGCATTGAACAGTTTTAGAAAACTCGTCAGCAATTTTCTAGATACGTTTATAAAAAATGAAACATTAGAATGATAAAACCAAATTAGAGAGCTCTTACAATGGAAACACAGGTTACCTCCATTTCAATTCGTTTTTAGGTGCCCCGGTGAGTCATGCGCCGAATAGATAAGCGGTATCGTCTGCGAAATCTGTGCAGGTACATATTTGCCGCCGTCTCAGAGCGACCAGAGAAAAACTCGGGTTCAAATCGAGCTGCCACGATAAGAAGACATTCGGTCGTCATACCTATAAAATATACATAGAAAAAAGAGTTTTTTTAATTGTTTCCTAAATTCCACCAGCCATAAAGCTCACTTATTTTTCAGCGGGATTTGTTTGCGGGCATTTCCATAACCCAGTTAAGCAATCTGTGGTACATAAATAAGAAGAATAACAATGTTAGCGATAAAACGTAATAGTTAATTCTTTAAAGCTTTACCTTCGATCCATTGCCAAGAACCAAGGCTTTGGGCCCCGCTTACCTTCGGTGACAAAAGTTTTGTTGGGCTTCTCCTTTGCAGCCACTTCGACACGCTTTGCGTCTTAAACCCAGCGCCACAACGTCGTCCTTTTCACGTCGTACTCGTCGGCGAGGGTTTGGCTGATTCCTTGAGATTTTGCCGCTTGCACCGCTTCGTGCTTCTTGCGATTCTTGTTGAAGAATGTTCTGCCCATTTAGAAAATGAATATTAAGCAATCTAGCTCGCCAGTGGTGCTGCCCGCCACCAGTACTTCTGGCGGGAAAATTAGTGCAGAATTATGAGTATTTACGTTTTTTTGTTCCTACGATTATACTTCAAAAGCGTTTTTACGATGTTGCAAGAAATACGTTAATTCCGGTACACTGCTCGGCAGGGCTCGGAAAATACCGTAAGCTATTGTACGGCTTTCAAACAGAGTTCGTAATAAGTTATTCCATATACGCAGAGACAATAATTTATTATTGAGAGATACCCACTGTATTGATGTCCAGCGCACCAAGTAGAGCGTACATCTACCTACATTGGCTGGAACACTTCTTGCACGGTCGTCACGTCCCAGTAGGCTCGCAGAAACATCAGCATCTCGAAGTTGACCGGCAGGAGAGATGCTCGCTGTGGAGAAAGCACCAGTTTCGCCTGCGAGAAGACCCCCCCCCCCCCCCGATTGCTAGTGGGCGGCAACTTCTCCAAGAGCTGGCAATATTTGGACGGCCTCTGGGCAACTGCGCTTGCACGCTTCGCTCTCAGCACCGCCGTCGCAAAGTCCTCCTCTTCCTCAGCCTTCTCCTTCCCGTTGTCGTCGTCATTCTTGCGCTTTCTTCCCGTGAGGCTTGGGACGGCTGTCACCTCAAAGCGTTTGATGGCCTTGCGCTTTTTCGTCGTCAGACTACCTGTTTCTCCGTGAATAACCTTTATTAAAACAAAATATAATAATTAGTGTTTGCAGACAGTATTCATAGATAAATACTATACCTTCACGGTAGCAGCCTTAAAACCGGAGAATGGACGATTGATGCCGTTGCTCCTAGCGTGGGTTTCAGCGATAGGAAGCGCTGCACAATCGAGTGAAGAGCTCGCGGACATCGGCTAGCGACACGTCCAACCATCAAACATGATCCCAAATGGCCCGTCCAGCTCGGCGCTGATCTTCGTCTCAACATCAGCCACTACCTTGCCGATGTAGACCTTAAGCGTCTTCGAGCAAACAGGCTTGAGCTTCGACGTGCTGCGAGTAAGTCGACCATCGACCTCACTGAGAGGCATGTTGCGGTCGACGACCCACTCAATCTAGATGTACATGCTGGAAGTCGTTGGGTTGACGAACCCACAGGCTGTCAGTGAGCCAGCCTGTCTGCGCTGGTGCGCGTCGTAGTCGGCGTGGTAGTCAGAATGCTTGTCCTTGAGGTGGCCAACCAGATTGGCGTAGCCACATGAGGGTAGCTGTTTGCGCTGCGTGCCACAGTAGCTGCAGGTAAAGTAGTGTTCGGCGTCAGTCACGTAGAAAAACCGGCAGAGCTCGCGGTTCGAGACAGAGGTCATGCTTGAGCTTTATGTACTTGATAAACAAAAGGAAAATGAGTTCTTGGATTGAGAGGCTTGCATAGTATGCTCTGCGAAGGTAGTGTTTTGTGCGTGTGTTGTGGGCCATTCAAACGTTTGCCTACTGCGGTTAAGCGAACCGGCCCGTTAATAGTACACTGGCCAGCCGGTAGTAATAATTTTTAAATAATATCAATAATACTACCCGGTATCAGTTCGCAATAGCTAATACCTTAATACTTTCAACACGAATAGTACTGGTACGGAATTACTTTCTTCCGAGCACTGCTGCTCGGTAATGTACGTACACAGTGTCGGTTTATTGGATACTGAAGGAAAAGTCAGAATCTTTTTTTAACATTGGGCCTGCTTCTATGGAGGTCGAACTTGCAAACCTAATGGGGGATGGACCGTGGGTAGAGAAGTTTATTGACAAGGCCGAAGAACACGAGCGCTTTGGAGATGATACACTATTCAGACGCACCACAGGCTTCAAAGGAGAGCTCGCCTTTAACGTCACAATTGACAACGACAACCCACCGAATGTTTTAATCATTGGAGTGGAATCTTTCCGGTACCGAGACTCGCGATACCTCGTGGATTTGGGTACAATTTACTCTAATTTAAAAAGCAATACTTTTGCTTTTGAGATATTGGGCATTTCTACAGTCCAATAGTTTTTTTTAATTTGATAATTAAAGGATTAAACTTTCAAAATATTTTTAAAGAAAATGACCTTTGATTTTAGCGAGCAGTGTCCTTCAAAAAATTACGATAGCATTTATGAAAAATTCGCAATTCTAACCCATTTTTCGGATTGCAATTGAAAGTAGCGACAGCAATTTCGAAGGTTGACAAATATTGTACCAACTGAAGAATAATGTTGTGTTTCGCATAAACCAATCAGACGGCGTGAAGAGAATAACATCAACTGGAGATACCTTATACTACTTGCTTGTTGTTGTGGACGCTGTCATCGCCGACCTCCGTGGGTGCTAATCCTCCATGGACCGAGTCATCTTTCTCCCAGAGAGCTGCATTGCCGGGTACCTTGATGCCGAAAGTGGTTAACGCTGCTGCGGCAACAAAGATACTCAAGTATTTGAAGGACGTCCCGCGGTTGCCGATCCCCTTGAACATCAAACTCCAACACAAAGCGCCGATGTTGCCTCCCGCACCAACAATACCTGATGTGGCGCCCGTGAAGGCAGGCAAGACGTATGGTACGATACCGTATGTGCTGCCGGTGCATGCCTGCACGAAGATGCCGAAGAAGACCAAGAGAGGAATGCTTGTCGAAAGACCCTTCGTTGTGCTGAACAAGTACAAGAAGACTGCCTGGCCGACAAAGGAGATAAACTGCACTCCGATTCGGCCTTTCATCCCGCAGCGACGGTTTGCCACGTCCGAGAGATACCCGCCCAGTGCGCGCGCGAAGATGCACATCAAGCCAAAGAGTGACGAGATGAGTGTGGCACGACTTTGGGTCAGACGACGGCACTCGTTCATATCGGTCTCAGGGTCGCAGTTCGGGTGCGTAAAGTCCTCATAGTAGTACTCAGTAAGCACGTTGTGTACCTGAAGTTCGACACCGAAGGAACACGCATAGTGGAAAGCCAGGATCCAGGTGACCGGCATCTTGGCTACACGGAGTAGACCCTGCTTCATGTCAATAGCAGGTTTCGTCGCTGCCGTGTTGAGTGAGAAGTTTTTACGGATATCCTTGTATTGTCCCTGTGGACAGTCATCTGAATTAAAGTAGAGAGCAACACCAACGATTACCATAAAGATTGCCGGGAAAAGGAGAGCGACGCGCCAGCCCATGTTGTCGGATAGAGCTCCACCCGTTGTGACCAGGCTGAAAAGCTGAGGTGTGATCAAGGTGGTAGCCCCAGCACCCAGATTTCCCCATCCAGCAGCGAGGGCGTTAGCACTACCCACGACTTCTTTAGTAAACATAGTGGAGGTCCAGTATGTTGTAGCAATAAAGGAGCAGCCGACGAGACCGATAAAGAACCGAGCGAACATGAGGCCAGTGTAACTCGTCACGAGTGAAGCGGAAGCCACCGGGATAGCTCCGACAACCAACAACACTGCCTGTACCGTTCGAGAGCCGTAGCGGTCGCACATTGGACCTCCGACAGCTCGTCCTAGAATGGTGCTTGCCACCGACACAATGTTGGAGTTGGAAACTTGGTCGGCAGTTAGTCCGAGTTGTTTCTTTATAGTGGGCATCAGAGGAGGAATGGAGAACCAGCCGAAGAAAGCGAAGAAGAAAGATAACCAGGCGTAGTGGAAGGCTCGCATGTGAGGACGAGCCGTACTGAGCAGCTTGATCTCCGAAGCCTTGTCATCTTGCAGCGGGTCCGTTTGGATGGGGAAGTCAGTGCGGCGATGGTGGACACCAGCAGTGTCTGGTTGCAGTGAAGGTGTGGCCAACCCGATGTACTGGTCTTGGGGCTCCATTGTTGTTGGTGGTTGCGCTTCAAGTGGTAAATAGAGGAGTGAGGTTGGGCCGAGCTGCAGAAACGATGCTGGTATGAATGAGTCATCCGTAAAAGACAACAACATCACAGAAACACCCCACTCTGAGCGCCAAAAAGCGAGCTCACTTATCGACAACACATGTAGTTTTATTAGAGCTTCTAGAGCTTATCAATCGCTGTAATGCCGACACTCACGGCGTCACGTGCGGAGGGAGGAGATTATTTAACGTCACGCGCACTCGGTCACTTTCAAGCACGAGATCGTGAGTCAGCTTTAATGGCGAGTTTGAAGTTGTCCAGCAGCTCGAGTCTGCGATGTAGCGTTCAGAGATCACCCATCCTTTCGATGGCGTGCATGTATTTCGATCTAACCCGCTTTCTTCTAGGTGCGACTTCTCTCGACGGGCGCTGGACTCCGACCTGAAAGAATTGTGACAAGCCGCGCGTGAGCAACGCGAACTTGGAACTGATTGGCCTCTCTCCACCATGACGCGTTTGAGATCTGCCGCCAGCACAATCACCAACCGGTCGACGCCGGCGTTGGCGCTAACGGCATCCCACGCGGGCTCGCATCCCGCCGTCATCGTGCCGATCCAACCGCTCTTGCTCACGCTCGAGCACCGCCCATCATGCCCGCACCGTGTGAGTTATCCCGAAATCGAGGCATACCGCGGCATCAGTAGCTCAGTGCGTCGGAGGCGACGTGGTCCAATTAAAACGCGGAGTGAAACCGGTTGCTCAGGGTGAAAGCCAAAGGTATGGACGGCTAAGTAATCCTAACTCCGCAGTGGCGGGCGCGCTCTTAGCTGCGTTCTCACAATGCGATTGTCCGTGCAAGTGACATCATGGCGCAAATTGACCCCAGAGACGTTGGTACGCCCGATGAGTGGGTACCCCGGCACCCTGAGCTGATCCGGCTCACGGGACGACACCCGTTCAATAGTGAGCCCCCGCTGAAGTACGCGAGCACCTTTATCACACCCATGGCATTGCACTACGTTCGCAACCACGGCCCCGTGCCGAGACTCGAGTGGGATACACATACGTTCTCGATCGACGGACTGGTGAAGAAGCCGCGTACGTTCGGCATGAACGAGCTGGTCACCACTTTTGAACAGGAGACCGTGACGTTCCCGGTGTTGCTGGTATGTGCCGGTAATCGCCGTAAAGAACAGAATATGATCAAGAAGACTATCGGCTTTAGTTGGGGCGCGGCCGGATGCTCCACCGCTGAGTGGACAGGAGTCCCGCTTCACGTACTGCTGACGGCTTGCGGTGTTGATCGAGAGAAGGCACAGTGGGTGTGGTTTGAGGGCATCGAGGACTTGCCACACGACAAGTACGGCACGTGCATTCGTGCCAGTACGGCGTTGGACCCGGCGTGCGATGTTCTGGTGGCGTGGAAAGCCAACGGTGAGCTACTCGGTCCTGATCATGGGTTCCCTGTGCGCCTTATTGTCCCAGGTCACATCGGTGGACGCATGGTCAAGTGGCTCGCACGGATCCACGTGAGCGATCACGAGTCCTCCAATCACCATCACATTATGGACAATCGCGTACTACCGTCGCACGTCACTGCCGAGACGGCAACGGCGGAAGGTTGGTGGTCCAAGTCGCCGTACGCGATCATGGAGCTTAACGTCAATGCCGTGGTCATTTTACCGAACCATGACGACCTGTTGGCTCTCGGTGAAGACACCACGTTTAACGACATCGAGACGTACACGATCAAGGGGTACGCGTATTCAGGCGGTGGTCGGCGAGTTATTCGCGTAGAGGTGACGCTAGACGATGGCGCATCGTGGCAGCTAGCTCGCATCATTTACCATGAGAGGCCAAGCAAGTACGGCAAAATGTGGTGCTGGGTGCACTACGAGTTGGCCGCTCCGATGAGCAGTCTGCTTTGTGCTCGAGAAGTGTGCGTTCGAGCTTGGGACAGCTCGATGAACCTCATGCCAGCGTTCCCTACATGGAATGTTATGGGCATGATGAACAACCCTTGGTACCGCGTCAAGATCCACCACGAACAAGACACGAACTCGCTACGGTTCGAGCATCCGACTCAAGCAGGAAACCAGAAAGGTGGCTGGATGACCAAGGAACGGATCATGACTAACGACGTCGACTCGATTAAGATGCTGCAAGTGGAGCCACTTGACACGAGCAGTGCTGCAACACCGAAGCCTGGTCTGACTGCAGACGAATTGAGTGAGCTGCCTCTGATTTTTGCAGACGAAGTTGCAAAACACAACTCGAAGAAAAGCTGCTGGTTTATTTGTCGCGACCTGGTGTACGACGCAACACCGTTCCTGGACGAACACCCTGGTGGAGCCACAAGTATCTTGCTGTGTGGTGGCACAGACTGTACGGACGAATTCGAGAGCATCCACTCTACCAAAGCCTGGCAAATGCTGAAGAAATACTGTATCGGACGTTGTTCAAGCACAGAGGACGACACTGGAACCAGCGATACCTCGTCGGACCATGAAGAGACGGACGTGGCGCTCAAAGGCGCTACCAAGGTGCCTATCGTACTGATCTCAAGAGAGGTGGTCAGCCACGATGCACGCATCTTTAAATTTGCTCTGCCTGCCAAGGATCTGAGACTCGGACTACCTATTGGCAACCACGTTTTCTTGTACGCGAAGATCAACGGCAAGACCGCCGTGCGTGCGTACACACCGATATCGTCCGAGAACGACGAAGACCGAGGATTCGTGTCCTTCCTCATCAAAGTCTACTTTGCAGGCGACAACCCTGTGCATCCAGAAGGAGGACTCTTTTCACAGTATCTCGATGGCTTGCATCTTGGTCAACAGATTCAGATCAAGGGACCGCTGGGCCACTTCACGTACTACGGAGACGGCAATTTCTCCCTCGAGACGACCAATTTTCACGCCTACAAGTTCGGGTTCGTCGCCGGAGGGACAGGTATCACGCCCGTCTACCAGGTCATGCGCGCCATTCTTGAAGACGCAAAGGACCAGACCAAAGTTGCGCTCATCTATTGCGTGCGCTCGCAGCGTGACCTGCTGCTCCGAAAGGAACTTGAAACCCTACAAAAGCTGCGACCGGGTCAGTGCCGGATCTTCTACACTTTGTCAGACATGGAGCTGCTTGATAGGAACGACCCTATTGTTCGAGGGTGGGCGTACGGTAAGAGTCGACTTAACTTTGCCATGGTGAAGAACATCATCGGCTCGGACGCCGACCACGTTTGCATGTGCGGCCCCGAGGGTATGATTGAGTACGCCTGCAAGCCAGCGCTACTTAAGCTGAACTACGACCTCAAAACCCAGACCACCGTGTTTTAATTGCACTATTTCGTGTAGCTAAGCTAAAAGTTTCAAAGAGAATCGTGATCTAAAAGAGTACATTGAGGTCCAGCCATCTTCACCTATAAAACGCGATGCTCCTTCTGCTTGGTTGCATAGGTAAGCAAAGGTACACGACCCAAGCACCCTGCACCCTTGGCTCCCGTCTCAAGACTATATCCACCATTATCGTGTCAAGATACCTGGTGGTTCTGGCCACTTAACGATCTTGAATTTCGGATGACTCACTGCCAAGTGCCCTCTCGTCTGTTTGGTGACGCTACAGACAGGCGATGCTTTTTGTGAAGTCAGTGGTCGGATTGGATGGATAAAGCGCGTCACACTATCGTCTTGTCCAGCACTGCAAGCTGTGCACCATGCGTCATTTCGAGTGAGTCACCACTTTTTCGAGCTCTGCTTTTTGGATGCCGCTAGTACTTGTTCATTTTCCAATCTTCCTCGCGTCCAGCAGTTCACCACCGAATCCTTTACTTGCTTTAATCATGGCACACGCCAACGAGGTGGTCGTGGTTGTGGGGAACGGCATGGTAGGTCACCGGTTCCTGGATCGGCTCCGCAAGTACGATACCACCAAGCGCTTCACCGTCGTTTCTATAGGAGAGGAACCCATCCAACACTATAACCGCATGCTGTTAACCGAGTACTTTGAGCATCTGAGTATCGATAAACTCAAGCTGGCGCCACCCAACTGGTACGTCGAGAATGGAGTCGACCTCATAACGAACACACAAGCTTTGGCACTAGACACGAAGAACAAGAAGTTGCTATGCCAGCGACTCAGTGACGACGTACCAAAGCAGTTCGAGGTGCCGTACGACCGTGTCGTGATCGCCACGGGTGCGAGTGCATTGGTGCCACAACTTCCTGGTGCGAGCCTGCACGGTGTGTTCGTGTACCGCTCCATCGCCGATCTCAACAGCATCATCGCCCACGCTGAGAAGCAAGCCAAACTGGAGGCCACTGGAAGTGCCAAGAAGTACGCACTAGTAATTGGCGGTGGTCTACTAGGACTGGAGGCTGCGAAGGCCGTCCACGACCTGAAGCTGTCCGTACGGATCATCGACCGCGGTACGCGGCTCATGTCACGGCAACTCGATGCTGACGGTGCTAAGGTTCTTCACAACGAGATCGTCAATAAGTTTGGGATCGACGTTCTCTACGAAAAGTCGACTCAAGAGATCATCGGCACTGAAGAGAGCGGTGTCGAGGCCGTGGAGTTCACCAATGGCGAGCGGTTTGACAACGTGTGTATGGTCATCTTCGCTACCGGAATCAAGCCACGGGACGAGCTCGCTCACTCCAGTGGCCTCGAACTGGCAAAGCGCGGCGGGATTCTCATCAACGACTACTTGGAGTGCAGCGAACCGTATGTGTACGGCATTGGCGAGTGTATTTCACACCGCGACGTCACGTACGGTCTCGTCGCTCCGGGTTACGAGATGGCTGACACATTGGCGAAGAACTTAACTTGTGGATCTCCAGAGAACCGTATCGCATTCCCGGGTGGAGACGTCTCGACAAAGCTCAAGCTCATGGGAATGGAGGTGGGCTCGTTCGGTGACTACTTCCCGGAGTTTATCAGCGAGCCGTTCGAGGTGTTAACGTACAATAACCCTCTTGAGAATGTGTACAAGAAGCTCTTCTTTTCTGTCGATGCGAGCAAGCTCCTGGGTGGAATTCTGGTTGGTGACACGAGTGACTTTGTGCGTCTATCGCTAATGTTCAAGCAAAAAGATACCAAACCTTTGGTAGATCCACCAAACGAAATACTTCTTAAGAAGAGAGGTGGTGGCAGTAGTACAGTCTTGGATCTACCCGATGAAGCTCAAGTGTGTTCGTGCAACAATGTGAGCAAAGGAGACATCTGCCAAGCTATTAAAGAGAAGAAATTGACCAAGCTTGGAGACGTCAAGAAGGTCTGCAACGTCGGCACCGGCTGTGGCGGCTGTATGCCTATGGTGAAGGACATTCTGGAAGCCGAACTGGCTGCTGCCGGTGCGGAAGTTGACAAGTCACTATGCGAACACTTCGCGTATTCACGACAGGAGCTGTACCAGATCATACAAGTCGAACAATACGCCACGTTCGCCGAAGTTTTAGCCAAACACGGTCGCAAACAGCACGCTCCTCGTAGCTACGGATGCGAGATCTGCAAGCCCACAATCGCCTCGATCCTCGCTAGTCTCCAGAACGGGCATATCCTTAAAGGAGACCGTGCCGCCCTTCAAGACTCGAACGACCGATTCCTGGCCAACCTGCAGAAATCGGGTCAATTCTCTGTGGTGCCTCGTGTGGCTGGTGGCGAGATCACGCCGGACAAGCTTATTGTGCTCGGCCAAGTGGCTAAGAGGTTCGATCTGTACACCAAGATCACAGGGGGACAACGTGTTGATCTGTTTGGTGCCCAGAAGCAAGACCTGCCCGAGATCTGGAGGATGCTGGTACATGCTGGCTTTGAGTCCGGTCATGCGTACGGCAAGTCATTGCGAACAGTGAAGAGCTGTGTGGGCACGACGTGGTGTCGCTATGGTCAGCAGGACTCTGTTGGCTTCGCCGTCTTCCTTGAGAACCGCTACCGCGGCATCCGTTCGCCACATAAACTTAAAGGAGGCGTCTCTGGATGCACCCGTGAGTGTGCTGAAGCTCGCAGCAAAGATTTCGGCTGTATCGCTACGGATCAAGGCTACAACGTGTATGTGGGCGGCAATGGCGGCACGAACCCACGCCATGCTACACTCCTGGCTTCAGATGTTCCGCAAGAACTGGCCGTTAAGTATCTGGATCGATACATCATGTATTACATCATGACGGCCGATCGTCTGCAACGTACATCCAAGTGGCTGGATGCACTTGAAGGAGGCATCGAGCAGCTTCGTCGTGTAGTAATGGAGGACTCGCTGGGTATATGTGCCACACTCGAGAAGCAGATGAGCTATCTGGTTGGAACCTACGAGTGCGAGTGGAAGAAGGTGATCGAGTCACCTGAACTCCTGGCTCAGTTCGCCCAGTTCAAGAACACTAACGAGACTCAGAAGGAAGTGCAGATGAAGACCGTGCGGGATCAACGCATGCCGACATTCGTGGCGCACGCTAAGACTGGAAGTAGTGGGACTGGCACCGAGTCTTCGTCTCCTGCATCAACTACTTCAGTGTTATCAGATCTCGATGAGACGGAGTGGGTCTCCTTTGGCAGCAAGGATCTATTCGATATGAATAGTGGTGGTGCCGTGCTGTATGGTGAGTCGCAGTTGGCGATCTTCAACATCACAGAGAGCTGCAACGGCATCGAGAAGGTGTCGTGGTATGCCACCCAGAACATGTGTCCTTATGACCACTCGTTCGTGTTGGCTCAAGGCATCGTGGGCGACCTGGATGGCAGACCGAAAGTGGCGTGTCCCATGCACAAATGCAACTTCGATCTCAGCGACGGCTGCTGCCTCAGCGGTAATGACTTTCGTCTTCAGACGTTCGATGCCAAGGAGGAGGAAGGGATCATTTACGTTTTATTACCACCTGTGGATGCGATTGACGCTAGGCTTGCAACGTCCAAGTTCATTGCGAAGGACAGAGATGTTTCAGTACTCCCGGTGGTGTCAAAAGCACCCGTCACGCTTGACTGGTAGCGCCATTTGTGTAGTGTTCGTGTCAACAGTATTTCATGCTACCAGCCAGCACTATAACTCGTAAAAAATCATGCTTGTTTCATCCAAGTCTGTGCAGTGAAATGATAACGCTGTATTTTACGCTATCTGATTGATTACAGCATTAAAAGCCATAATGAAATATAAAATTTATTCTTAAAACAAACTGTAAATTTACATATTTTAAAAATGGACATTGCCCTTTAACATTTAATTTTTTTTCCAAAATGGATTTAAAATCAATATTTCTCATCTGACGCAAATTGCATTATCTTAAACGGCCCATCTCCATCGATCAGTCCGGGTTTCTGGAGGTCGCAGCGGTTTGGTGCTTTAACGATTGCACCTTTAGTGTTAAAACCAGATAGAACCATATATTAGCTGTACTGATGGTAGACTACAAGACACAGTTACCCTTTTCAATGTCTTATGACGAATACATTTTGCTGCCGTCTCAATAAAATCAATGAACACAATGCAAGAAAGATTTGATGGTGACAGTGCATCCTGAAAATAAACAATGTACGTTGCTCTTCTGTACGCATACGCTAAAGAGACTCCTAAGCAGCAGAGTGCGCTGTTAAGCAGATGATCCTATTCAGTGTTCATGTTGAAGGTGTAAAAGGTGCCAACAAACCCCTGATGGATTATAACAAGACAGGTGATCACGTCTCTTTACGGCTACACAAAACACTATCGCGCGAGGAAAGGACGACATACAACACTTAAACAAAATGAGATATTTTGTTTATTATAAACAAGTGCAATAGTAGTGCCCAACACTCCGTGTGGCGTCTTGTAAGACTACAGGCTTTGACTGTTTAGCCGTTACGGGATAACTTGACCCAGTCGACTTATACGTCATACAGTAGCGACGAATGATTCCCCCTCTCTCATTGACCAGCTTTCAAGCTGCTTAACGTTTTTTTAGCACCCTTACCGGCAGTATCTAGCGGCCATCTAAGCAAAACCAAACTCATCAAAATCAAATGTTAGAGAGTAATAAAGCAATGCAACAAACAGCTACTTTACCTGCAATGAAGACACCGAAAGCACCTAAGTCGATCTTCGAGGTCAGAATCGTCGAAAACTCCGAAATCCTCGCTAAGCACAATGTGGAAGTCAATGCGGCCAAGCCACACTAACCCAACCTCCATATTTCTGACTGCATTGTGCCACCGTCGCATCGCTCTAATAATAGATGCCGTAAAACCACCAGCTGTGCCGATGAGCAGAATGATGTCTCTTTCTGAATTTGTTATCTTATATTTTGAAGTGAGGTCGTCGCACTGCCGTGTCATATTCATCGGAAAGCTCATGCTTTATCTCGGAGGGAAGTAGTGGAGGCCGGTGGCATCTTTTCCAACAAGTGTGCCGTAGCTTTGGTGTAGTGGAGAAGCAGCATAAATCATAGCTCCTGAGAAACGATTCAGATTTAAAAGTTTTTCGCCGATATTGCAGCCAGTGACTTCAAGGGATGTGATTCGCAAACATTATGTCATTTTCGACGTCTTGTGCTGCATTTTATTGTTCAGTGGGCCCCAGTATGGGAGACGTGGTTAATTGGGCCACACCGTCTCGGTAACTTGAGCAGTGAGAGTAGGCGGAGATTGCGCAGCTTCGTTCAGGCTTCTAACAGGGATCTCTGGGAAGCCGTGGCTGTCGATAGCCCCCCATATAGGCCACAGACAGGTCAGATCACGATAGGCCAGCACATAATATTTACTGAATTAACTAGATTGTATTATTTACTAGAAGCAAATGGGCACGTGTCACATTACGACGAATGATCGACCCCCGCATTCTCCTCGCAAAATTCATGCAACACAAGGAAGCAGGGCGAGCATACACCAGCGGGGACGACCACAGCGTCAGCAAGGAAGGGACTTTATAACAGCGCCAACGCCGTGAAGGCGGCAGTTTCGACATCTTGTCCACAAGCAGAATTTAAGTAATACAGTAGTACATGTATTCATATCTACATAGTACGCTAATATGTGTATATTTGATGTAAAAGCAGATACAATAATAAATGACGATGAAATACAAGAGATTATACAGCTTGTGATGAATGGATAATCTGGTCGCGATGTCTACGATAGGAAAACGATATCGAAGAAGCTTGGTGATTACAGCCATCATTATATTCGAGATGAATTCAGACGTCACGATGCAGTTCGTAGTGAGGAGCCTATTCTAGCTTTTAGGGATGCACATCAATCTCTAGTCCGGTATCATCAAGGGCTACCTGTATCATCTACGGCTACACATCTGTACAAGGCAACGAAGACAGATGATGTTTTTGGTTTTATTAACCGAGAAGCTAAAGAAACAAGGAAAGGATTGCAGCACACACCACCGGGGTAGTGCGTGTGGAAAATTACGGAATACGCGGATTCTATTAGAATTGACACATCTCAAGGATATCGTTTCGATCAAAAATGTTGGCTGCAAGCTGGTAATCGTGAAAGTCCTGGGCACATGAACCACGGTCGTGTTCTATCTTACATCCTCCTGCGTTAGTACATACATTCAAGATTTGGATTGCTTTTACGGATTTCATTTAAATGTGACGTGGATACGGTCATTAGAATGGCGCGAGATATCGATACTGTGATCGAGATCCAGCCATTTAAGACGTGGTATATGTGAGTCCGTTGATTCATCATTCGGTACTGTTATGCGGTATGCGGTACTGTTATGCGGTACTGTTGTGCTATTCGTCGAAGTTCGACCTTGAAAACCAATGGGGGATTATTGATGGATACGTTTTCATTTTAAGAGAAGACAAGCTGACATCTTACGTCTACGCTTCCCAATCATAAGAGAAAAATAGTGCCTGCTTATCCCGAATTTGCAGCGAAAATCCAGAATGGAGCTGAAACAAGGCGTCGTGGTAAGACACGAAACGCTAGCATGAAACGTGCTAGGTCGTTAACTGAGAAAAAATTAACACAACATATAATTTGTTTATTATTGCTACGTACCAATGTTAACGTATTTCTTGCAACATTGTAAAAGCGTTTTTGAAGTATAATCGTAAGAACTAATGAAACCTAAATACTCATAGCCCTGCGCTAATTATCCCGCCAGAAGTACTGGTGGCGGGCATCACCACTGGTGAGTGGATTGCTTAGATATTCATTTTTTAAATGGGCAGAACATCACCCAACAAGAATCGAAAGAAGCACGAAGCGGTGAAAGCGGCAAAAGCTCAAGGAATCAGTTAGACTCTCGCCAACGAGTACGGCGTCAACAAGACGAAGCTGTGGCGCTGGGTTCAAGACGCCAAGCGTGTTGAAGTGGATGCAAAGGAGAAGCTCGACAAAACCTTCGTCACCGAAGGCAAGCGGGACCTAAAGCCTCGGCTCTTGGTAATGGATCGAAGGTGAAGCTTTGAGGAATGAACCATTACGCTTATTCGCTATTTCTTCTTACTTATGTACCACAGATTGCCTAAATGTATTATTGAGATGTGCTCAAGCAAAGCCCGCTGTAAAAAAAAGACAATGTGAGCGCTATTGCTGGCGAAATAGATTTATTATATAACTCTTTTTTTCTATGTAAATTCTACATGTGTGACGACCGATTGTGTTCTTATCGTGGCAGCCCGACTTGAACCCAATTTTTTTCTGGTCGCTCTGAGATGGCGGCAATCATGTACCTGTACAGATTTCGCAGGCGATACCGCTTATCCATTCGGCGCATCACTCATCGGGCACAAAAAAAACGGAGGTATTTTGTGTTAGCCTCTCCAATTTTGTTTGGTAATTCTAATGTTTAATTATTTATAAATGCTTCTAGAAATTTACTGACGAGTTTTCTAAAACTGCTCAATACCGTTTAGAGGAGTCTAGTGTGGTGTCCATTGTTGGCTCTGCAAAGTTCGCCTCTGTCTTCAACATGGATCAAACGGCAGTCTACATCGACACGAGCCCCAACATGACGATCGACTTCGTGCGGGTCAAACACGTCGATGTCGTCCAAGGTCAAAAACTAATTTTCCTTTTTATGTCTAAACCTTCTCTAATAATATTATTATGTTTAGGGATGACGGAAAATGCTTTATGAGCTTCTGGTATTATCTGTGCGTCCGCCACCGGGGATAAGCAACCACCGATGATTATCTTCGCTGGTGTTGTTGGTGCTACTATCGAGGAGGAAGTGCAGCAAAATCCGTTGCATCGTCACCAAGCTATTCTGACAGTTCAGAAAAAAGCTTATTGTGACGAGTCACGCATGCTCTATTGGATTGACGAGGTGAGCCACAGTTTCATTTTACAGTTGCTGAAGTTCTAATGTGAATGTTTATTTTTTATAAATCTAGGTCTGGAAGCCCACCGTATCTGGCGCTGGATTTCTACTTTTAGACAGCCCAAAACCACACAAGATGGACTCTGTAAGACTAAAGTTAGAAGGTGAATGCAGTACTGAGATCGAGTTCACCCCGCCTGTAACTACGGGCGTGGCGCAACCTATGGATGTTTCGGTCGTGCGAGTGTTTAAGAAGCGATATCGTGAGCTTTATGTATCCCACCACATCGACAACGGTTTTCTCCAGACCCAACTACCCGCCGCGATCTCATCACCCGTCGTGATCTCATCACCCGCATCGTTGTCCAAGCTTGGCATGAAGTTTCTGCCGGGGCCATAGAGAGGTTTTATTCGTGTAGGTATTGTTCCGTTTGGACCTCGGGAGAGTAAAGTCGTTTTGGAGTAGCTAATCTTTTTTAGCTACTCCAAAACGACCATTACCCTCCCAAGGCTAAAAAACTGTTTTTTTGGCGGTTTGAATGTCTTATATTCTACTTAACCCTACAGTAAGCGTTTTGCAACTACAAAATGAAAATTGGACTAGATAGCAGAATTGGCGCACAATTTAAGGGCTGGAAGGTAACATGCCGCTTGTCCTGCTCTTAATAGATCGCTCTATTTTAATAGATTAGTAGCACTGCTACGTGCTGCATTATGTATGCTTCACCTGTCTTCAGTCGTGGCGTTCGCGCTGCCAGCCTCAACTATGACGGAGCTGTACGGCGACGTACTGCAAACCGTGCGAGAAGTGCATCCTCCTGTTCCCGCATTTTTCGGCTGCGTTTATCGAATTGCTAGACTTAACGAACTCATCGTGATGCAAATGTCTACCAAGGAGGATGCCTATA